GAAATTGGCGGGCAGGAACACATATTCTTTACGAATTGGGGGCGGGAAGCAAAGAATAGACATGACATGCATCTTGGACCCTTTTGTTATCTTCTCATCGCTAGAGACACATAGCAGCTTTTGGGTGCTGGTGGCAGGGAGGCAAACGTCGGAGTTTCGACAGGTTGGCAACGAGAGTTTGAATTTCAAAATAAGCAGAAAAAATGACATTCTGCACAAAAAGATTTCGCTCGAGTTTTATGCTCGGCACCGATGTCTGCCTGTTGAGAAATTTAGGACGGTTATCCATGTGTCTTGGTATCATATTCATGCCATCACCTATACTCGAGATGACTCTGTTTTCTCCTCCCCTCGATGTACATTCATATATCTGGCCCCCCTTCCGTGTAATATTCCATCACACGCCAGCCATATCGATATCTTCTTCCTGCTTTATCGGCGGTTCCGTGCCATTTACATTGGCGACTTCATCTCCTCCGACCTCCTCACCAATCGCGTGACCATTCGTCAGCGTCTTCTCCGCCCCATCGGTTTCAGTACCAGCAATAGCGGCGGCGGCAGCGGCCACGGCACCAACCTCCCCTTCACCCAACAACCTCTTAAAGATGCGTATCCGTCCATCCTGCCCCGCCGACACCATGACGTCCCCATGGACATCGACCCAGAAACACACGTTGCCACCCTTGCCGCCTCCTCGGTGCGAAGAAGAATCCTTCTTGTGGGCGGGGATGCGCTGAACAACCTCTTTAGTGACGACGTCCCACAGCACAATCTCGCCGTCCTCGCTGGCCGAGGCGATGAAGGCGCCCTCGCCGGGGACGATGCCGAAGCAGCCGCCGATGGCGAAGCGGTTGTTGGCGTGGCCTTGGTACGTCTTTTTCACGGAGCCGGCAACGTAGTCCCAGAGGCGGATGCTGTTGTCGAGGTTAAAGGCAAGGACGAAGCGGCCGTTGGGTGCGAAGCAGACGGACGTTACGGCGGGGTTGTCTTCGTGGACTAGGGTGCGGAGGCACTGGCCTGTGTAAGTGTCCCATATGCGACTGTTGTTCGGGGTTAGTAAAGGATCCCAACCAAGTAGAGACGGGGGTAGTCTTGGCCATACGTACATGAGACCGTCCGTCGAACAACTCACGACCAACGTGCCGTCGCATGAAAAGTCGATGCCGCTGACCGGGTCGCTGTGCGCCGGTAAACTACGCATCAAGCGGCCCGCCCTGACATCCCACAAAAAGACGGCCTCGTCGTACGATCCCGAGGCGAGTATGTTTCCCTTGGGCGAGAAGGCGAGACACATCACGTAGTTGTGGTGTCCCCGCAGCGGCAACATGGGATGCGCGGCGGGCGCCGCGTCGTCCTTGGCCATGTGACCCACGCCCTTTGCCGTGACCTTTGGCCGGCCCGTCACCCGGTCCCAGATGCGAATCGACTTGTCGTCGGAGCCCGTCGCCAGGCTCCCGCTGTTGGGGCTCCACGCCACGCAGTTCACGCCGGCCATGTGGCCCACCAGGGTGTCCATGTGCTCCCCCGTGGCCGCGTCCCACGTCTTGACGGTCCCGTCGGCCGAGGCGCTCGCGATCCACCGGCCGTCGGGCGATATCCGCACTTGCGAGACGGGCGCTCCCGCGTGTCCGCTCAGCACCCTTTCCTCCTCGTACCGCGGCCTCACGGGGCCCTTCTTCACGGGCCCGGGTGTCACGGGCGTCGTCACTGTCGCGCCGGTATCTGCGCCGCCGTTGGTCGAGGAGAGCCGTAGCCTGCGGTCGACGGCGCCTGAGAGACTGCCGCCCGATGTAGAAGCAGGCGACCTTGATCCCGCGCGTGACTCATCCTCGTCGTCGTCGTCGTCGTCGCTACGTGAGCGGGAGGGTGAGGCGGTCGCCGACCTTGGTGTGCGAGATCGCGACCGCGACCTCGAGTGCGACCGTGATCGAGATTTGGAGTGCGATGAGCGTGAGTAGAATGCCGCCTCGTTGAGCTCATCCTCGCTAGGAGACCTGCTAGGTGTCATGCTAGGACGGCCATGGTTGGTTGACAGGCGGCGGGATGTGCTGGACCGCTGCTTCTTCGTTCTCGTTGTCGTCGCGGTGGTTTTCTTGGCGGCTGCGGCTGCCGTGGTGGTCGTAACTGTCGTGTCGTTGAGCTCATCTGGTGAACTTGATCGCGGTGTCGCGGATGTGCTGTGTGCGACGACTTTGCGACGTTTTGGAGGGGGTTCGGGAAGAGGCGTCGCTGCTGCTGAGGAGCCGACGTCTGACATTTTTTCGCGTTATGTTTGGGTATGGATGCACGAGTATATGAGACGGACTACCAGCTCCCTTTTGTGTTGGTCAAGGAGGCTGTTCAATCGATGGCGAGCGGGGTGGTGGGAAATAATAGCAATTTATGCCCAGGAAAGTCAAAGGCAAGGCTGAATGAACGGACGGCAAGAATGATCAGCAACTTTTGGCGCGTTGAAAAGAAGCAGGGGTTGCTTGACTGACGTTTAGCGGTTGCTTTTCAGCCTCGTCTCCACCGCACAGGTCATTCTGGGGTCAAGCTCTCCCCCTGATAGCGTGTGGGACCACTAAGATAAGAATCCGCTGCTGCCATTTTCGTACCGATTGGCCAATGGCAGAGTGTATGGAGCCTCGTCCGGCCAAGCATCTGTAAGAGTGGGTCGTTCTCCCGTTGACAACCCCCCGGCCTGCCGGCAAACGCAAACGGGACGGCTCCAGGAAGTCGAGAAAGGGAAAAAAAGAAAACCAAACGCAACGTCACCAAAAGTCCAAGCGTCCGTTGTAGTGACCTTTTCATCCCATCTCGCAAGAGCCCCGCGATCCGACCTCACCTTTGACGGTAATGCGACTTCATTCTCACATTTTTTTGCAAATGCCATAGCGCCAGCCCAGTTAACTACCTATCATTACAACCACTGTAGAGTTTGAATCTTGCTCTCACACTCCACTTCGGAAGCTTCGGCGTAATCACCTACAACTGCCGACCTATCTTGTTGCAGCTCGCTGTCGTCTTACACGCGTTCGACGCATCTCTTGATCCAATATCACTTCCCGATTCAAGCCATCTTATTCTTTACCTTTTTCCGCATTCTCCTCAGTGGTCTTCCTATTTCTTCTCCCACATCTTCCCCCATCTCTATAAAACATAATCTCCAGATTCTTCACCTCGTCATCTCAAGACAGCCAACAACATAAACCAACACAATATGGACGACCCTCTCCCAAAGGACCTCCGCCTACTAACACTCAACTGCTGGGGCCTAAAATACATCTCCAAGCTCCGCCCGCAACGCCTCGCAGAAATCGGCCGCCGCATCGCCGCCCTCCCGGACCCGCCCCACGTCGTCGCCCTCCAAGAGTGCTGGGTTACCTCCGACTACGACGCCATCCGCGCCGAGACCGCCGCCGTCCTGCCCCACGGCAAGTTCTACTACTCGGGCCCCTTTGGCGGCGGCCTCGCCGTCCTCTCCCGCTGGCCCATCGACGAGAGCTCCATGCGCGCGTACCCCCTCAACGGCAGACCCACGGCCTTTTGGCGAGGCGACTGGTACGTCGGCAAGGGCATCGCCTGCGCCCGCATCCCCGTCCGCCTCGCCGGCGCAGACGGCGGCCCCGGCAGAGACCACGTCCTGAGCATCTTCAACACCCACACACACGCGCCCTACACCGAAAACCAACCGGGCGACACCTACCTCGCCCACCGCCTCGCCCAGTCCTGGGAAATGTCCAAACTCCTCCGCGCCGCAACCCAGCGCGGCGACCTCGCCCTCGCCATGGGCGACTTCAACATGCGGCCCCTATCCCTCCCGCACCGCATCATCACAGCCCACGCACCCGTCCACGACGTCTGGCGCGTCCTCCACCCAGACTCGTCTCTCGGCGCCGCAGACGATCCCTTGGAAAAAGCCCGCGGTAGACCCGTCCCCTCGGCCGACTTCAACCTCGTCGAGAACGGCGCCACCTCGGACCACGTCTACAACACCTGGCGCTGGTCCAAGGAGCAGCAGAAGAAGCTCGGCGAGGGGAAAGAACCCGTCGTCGTACCGCCAGACACGCCCGACAGAAAGGGGAAACGCCTGGACTACATCTTCTTCGGCTCCGGTAGAGGAGGTGGTGGTGGCGGTGACGACGGCGGCAGCGACTGGGTCGTCCGCAGCGCCAAAGTCGGCATGGTCGAGCCGCATCCCACCCTCGGCTGCTCCCTAAGCGACCACTTCGCCGTCGAGGCAACGCTGGCATACCAGACACCACACCATCGCCACCAAGGCCTCGACGCAACGGAAAACGATAACGAGACGTCCTACCTCCAGGACGCCTCAGCCAGCTCCCACCGCGACTCCTTCACGTCCGAGAACCCCCCTATTTCCGAAGTGCCAGGCAAAGGTCTTCCGGTGCCAGTCTACGACGAGATTCTCTCTGTGACACGTCAGTACATCCACCGGGAAGAGAATCAACGGCGCTGGCGGGGATCACACTTTTTGGCATGGTTTGCCGTCCTAATAGCGTGCCTTATAGCTGTGTGGTTCAGCCCACACAACTTTGTTGCCTTTGTTCTCATGCTCCTGAGCAGTCTCGGACTGGTTGCTGGTGTTGTTGACGGTCTCATGTCACTCCTCTTCTTCAACTCAGAACTCAGAGCCTTGAAGGAGTTTGAATGGGAAATCACAAACGCCAAAAGGCATGCGCGAGGTTCTGTTTCAGAGGAGACAGTAAAGAGAGAAAAGTCTTTCTAAGAACCCGAATGACGATTGTCCTGCCTAGTATAATAATACCCCAGACTCTAGGCTTAGTTGACGGTGCCTCCACAGCATGTTACACGCGCCAGAGGAGAGGCTGATATGTAATGAAGAATAATGTCTATTCATACTTGGCGTTGCTCTTTCCTTCTCATAATGGCGCAACACACCTTGTACGTGTAACCAGCCCATACTTCCATCAGTAGCTGCTTCAATCTTGCCCCTCTGCCCAACGTCGCCTCGACTGACAACGCATTCCTCCCCTTGATCAAGAATTTGTAGGGTAGACTGTTCCAACAGGCCTGCGGCTGGCCATGTCTTTGCGTCGCCACGAATAACCTAGAAAAGCTGTTCGCTTCCTCATCTGAAGAACTTCCTCCTTGACCCAACGGTCCCGTAGTAACTTGTCTCTTGGGCGCTTGCATTCTTTTCGTCCGACTCTTCTGACGTACCATTTGAGAAAGGCCTTTTCAACATCTTCCAGAAAGGCATGATCGTCAATATCGCGATCGAATCGTTTCAACTTGGATGAATCGTAGGGTTTGGAGATGAACTCAGTGGCCAGGCACCTCACATCGTCTTCAAAGTCGTACTGTAGAAACCTAAGACGGAGATCGTCCAGGTTCTCCGACCCCTCCACTATCTCGGAATCCATTGAGTCAGACCAGTCGCTGATCGGCTCATCTTCTTCAAAGTAGTGAGAGTCGGCGTAGCTTTGAATATGTGGTATCCACTCTGGCCGACTGGAGCGTATTGCTTCCCAAGGAACGCCCCGAAACCACGGGTGGGCCTTGATCTCGGATGCGTCGTTATTGAAAACGTATTGACTCGGTATTTTCTTGTAGCCCTGAAGCTTGTCCCAACTTCGTCGAGCATCTTGGTTGCGATACTCGGGTGATGAGAGACGGCTGTCTTTGTCCTGAAGCAGATCGTTGATCAATTGCCGGCATACTCTCGAGACTGGAGGTCCGTCAATAGGAAACACCAAGCTTTTCCGATATTCCTGCTCTCAAAATCAGAGAAATATACAATGGGAAGTTCTGTCTAAACTTACGAGGATGTTCTGCTTGGTATAGTGACGACCCTTCTCCGAGAGAAACGGCGTGTGCCCATATAGGCACTCGTAAAGGATGATTCCGATACTCCACTAGTCGCATCTACCATCATACTTCTCTCCCATGACCACCTCTGGAGCCATATACTGGCTTGTGCCAACAATGGAGCGGGCCGAGGATCGGCGTGTCTCTGCTGTTCGCCAACCAAGCAGCTGGTCGACTTTTACAATCTCGTCTGCGTTTGTTTCGACGACATTGAACGGACATTCAAGCCCATCAAACTTGGTTCGGAGCAATTCTGACGGGGGATAGTGCTTGGATGACCCTTCCCGAGATGATCGTCGCCTCGCCCGTCCACCATCGCGGGCCGCTTTTTGATCCTCGCCATCACCGTCTAGCGTAACACCTGTCAGGGCCAGAATTGACTGTCGCTGCCACTTGTAGTAGGAGGTGTCATGGGACCAATGGTCGTCAAAAGCCAGCCCGAAATCCGAGATTTTCAGGTGACCGTCGGCACCGATGAGGAAGTTGTCTGGTTTGACATCTCGGTGGATGCATCCAAGTCTATGGGCCTCTTCGACGCAAAGTATCATCTCGGCGATGTAGAATCGAGTTCTGGACTCGGTCATGATGTTTTCGCGAATCAGAAGACCAAGAAAGTCTCCCCCCGGCATGTAGTCCATTAGGAGGTAAAGATTCACTGGATCCTGGAAACTGGATATCAGGGGCACCACCCTAGCCCCGGTTAGCATGGAAGAACAGCGTTGCCCAGCACATCGAGAGGACTTTGCTCACCATTCTGAATTCTCAGAGGCCGCCAAGAAGTCTCTTTCCGCTCGCAAGTGCCCTTCTTGGCAGCTTCGAATCATGTCAGACTTCCGAATGACCTTCATAGCAAATACCTGTCGTCGGCATCGGTCCCATACAAGCTTGACAACTCCGAAGCTCCCTTTTCCGAGGATTTGCAGGGTCTCGAGGTTTTCCAAGTCCGATCCTCGCCTCATTTCAGCGCTAGACGTTGTTGACTATGCAACTCTGCAGCTGTGAGTTTTGGCGTTTCTTTGCTCGCGGAGGAAATTGGTCTCCATTGCAAAGAAGAGCCTCCAGTAATAGTCTCTCTCACTGGGGCCGAGGTGACCTCCATACTGATCCAGATTTCGTTGGTGCTCGGCGATACGCTGTTCACGTGGTGTGAGACGACTACTCAAAGCATCCTCGAAGTAGGTCTCCAGGTAGATTCTGGCTGCTGCTGCCTTTTCGACCGTGTGGACCCTTTGTTTATCAGAGAGTTGGTTCCAATCTAGTCGTCCCCAGGGTGTGTACTGGGGCGCCGAAGAAAGCTCAAGTTCCAAGTCAGGTGGCGGATTTGGGGCGGCTGGCTCAAGAGGGTGGTTTGTGACGGGCTGGGCAATTGGGTATCGCAGAGGGCGGGACTGTATTGCCTTGTGAGTGGGCTTCCCCCTTATGTCCATGAACCTGTGAATGAAGTTCCTGGTTCTGGTGGACCTAGCACTGCCCGAGGACTGTAGGTCTGCTTTGTGTGTTAGCTGGTGATGGTTGGCCTTTTAGTCAGCCTCTACCCACGTTGATGATGGCGGTATCTTCCCTTGAACAAATGGGTTAGTGGGGTCGCCTGAAGATGAGGACGGGGATTCCAAAGAGTGTGCTGTGCCTGGCCGTCGACTTCTGGACTGAGGTCTGTTGGGAGTGTGTGGTTGGGGTCTATGGCTGTTGCCGTGAGGGTCGGATTTGAACGTGCGACGATGCTGCTGCGGAGAACTTGTTGATGCATGATGTTTACTAGTGATGGAGAAATTAATTGAAGAGGTAATGAGACCTGCTGGCATAACGACTTGTGATAAATGCGGGATCCAAAAGAGAGGCGGACGAGCAGTCCGGCTGTATGGTGTTTGGCCTGGTGGCATGTCGTCTGAGAAGATGTAGGCAGATTAGGAACGAGGATATGGATCGTTGTCCTCGGCCAACGGTTGCATTGAGGAGGGACTTGCCAAAAGCAGCTGGACCACCTTGGCCGTTTCAATTGATCGACAATGGGCAAGTGAGCTTCATTCAGGATAGTCACCGGCGAGGAGGCAGGTAAGTACGCTGTAAATTGAGCTTGCCTCAGCATCTCAGGACGTCATCACAAGTTTCTAGGCACGATCGGTTGCCGAGGAGGAAGGCTCGCCGGGACATTCAAGGTAAGAAGTAAGGAGACTTTGATTTTCATAAAAGGAAACCGGAGCTAAGTACAGACCGACCGGAAGAAAACCATCCATGTCCGGTGAGAGAAATTTCCTACATCAACAGAAAACTCTTTTTGTGATACGCCAACTAATGCAGTGTAAGTCCTCGCCTCGTCATCCCATCAAACACATTCTGCTTCTCGCACCCCACGAGGGGACTGCGAATCTTCGCAGATAGCCACAGGTCGGAGACTATCCATCGCGGCAACAGCGCATATATCGCGACTCAGCGAATCCCATCGCCGTCACACATCATTACGAGGGAAGGTCGGCGTCTGGAACGCCGGGGCCCAGCAGGGGCTCGCCATCTTTCCATGGCGTGCTCGCCGGGCAAAATAGGGTAGAATACAGTGAGAAGCATCCTGAATCGGCGTCTCGCCGCCAAAAGGGGGTCTTGCTAGTGAGGAAGCGACCTGTTTACTTGATCTCAAGGAGCTTAACGTCGAAGGTCAGGGTGCTCTTGGCAGGAATGCCGGGCAGGCTCTTGTTGCCGTAGGCGAGGTTGGCGGGGATGGTAAGACGACGCTCACCACCGATGGCCATGCCGATGACACCAATGTCCCAGCCCTTGATGACCTGGCCCTTGCCAGCCTTGAAGGTGAAAGGCTTGCCCTTCTTGTTGGCTAGAAATTTGAGTTAGCGAGACATCTAGAAGAAAGGAATATTCGGACTCGGCGCTTACCATCGAAGACCTTGCCGTCGTCGAGCTTGCCAATGTAGCGGACGCTGACGCTGTCACCGTTCTTGACAGCGCGGCCAGTACCAGGCTTGCGGTCGTCAATGGTGACTCCCTGAACGACCTTGACGCCACCCGCGGGCTTGCCAGCCTGCTTGGCCTTCTCAGCGGAGCCGGTAGGGCCCTGCTCGAGGTTCTTGGCGAACTGAACCTTCTTGTCGGACTTGGGGGTAGTCTTCTCCTCGGCGGCGACGGCCTCACCCTTGTTGTTCTTGAGCTTCTTCTTGTCCTTCTTGGAGGTCTTGGTCTCGTCGTCGGCCTTGATCAGGTCGTCGAGGCTCTCGGCAGCGCGCTTCTTGCCCTTCTTGCCAGTCTCGACCAGCTTGGGGGCCTCCTCCTCGTCGGTATCGACTTCCATGACGCGCGGGTCCTCGGTGTCGTCAAGGTCGTCGCTGTCCTCATCGGGCATGCCGTACTCGAGCTCATCGGGGGACAGGTCGTACTCGTCGTCGTCCTCATCCTCGTCGGATCCCTCCTCCTCCTCATCGTCGATAACGTAGTTACCGGTGAGGTGGACGGTGTGGGTACCAGAAACGACGAAGAAAACCTTCTCACCCTCCTGGACGGTGATGTCAAGGGGCTGCTGGTAGTTCTGCGCGGTTATTAGCAATCAAGACTTTTCCCTCTAGACTCGCACGGTCTATTCGCAACTTACGCGCTCGGTGTCGAGAGTGCAGATGACAAAGTTCTCAAGGTCAAGGCCCTCCTCGTCGTCATCGCTCTCCTCGTCATCCTCCTCATCATCAGAGGCCTTGCCCTTGCCCTTCTTGCTAGACTTTCCGTTGGGCTTGGCATCGTCCATCTCCTCGTCAGACTCCTCCTCGTTGACGGCCTCGATCAGCTTCTTAAGGGCCTCAGCCTGCTTCTGCTTCTTGGACTTGGAGGGGTCGCTGGGACCTCCGTTGGGCTCATCATCGTCATCGGACGACTCGTCGTCATCGCCGTTGGCGTCAATGAGAGACTGAAGGTAGTCCTCATCGATCTCGTCATCCTCGCCGGCCTCGAGGTCGTCACCGAAGCGCTGCTTGACGAGGCGAAGGGTAGAGCGGGGGACAGCGGGAATGTTGCCATCAGCATCGGCCTCGGGAGCCTCAGAGGGATCAATGGCGGCCATGGTGATGCGGAACTGGTTAATCCTAAGGTTAGTTAACCGTGAATAAGCAGGAGTGCGCCGGCGCCCAGCGCAAGTTGCGACCTGGCCGGAGCCTGCGCTCAAGCGCCTACAGGCAAAGAAACAGGGCAGAGAGATGCACATACAGTGGCAGGGAAGTCGGGGTTGGCGGGAATGAGGATCTCGCCGGCGGGGACCTCGAGCCCGTAGAGAGCGACAGGAAGCTGGGCCATTGTGCTGATTGTGAAGGTGGTATGTGAACGAGACTAGTAAAAGTTGGTGCTCTTGCACTTGATGATTGCTCTTCAAGGAGGTCGAAAAACAAAGACCGTTCGTTCTTGAAGGGATTATTTGGGGGTATGGAAAGACTAGGGAGAGGAAGAAGATGGGGTGGGATTCGAGTGTGAGAGGGAGGTTGTACAGAAAAGTCGAGGTTCTCGAAGAACTTTTGCCTGAAATTTTTTTCCACTCGACGACCAGACCAGACGGAACTTTTTTCTTTTCTTTTTTTTTTCTTGGTCTCGACCCCACCGCTGGCGGCGCTAGTGCTGCCTTGTCCTGTCTTATCGGCCTTATCACACCATGGCAACCAAGGCGCAACGGCAGGGAAGGTGCGTCTGGGGAAGGAGCTGCATTGGACCCTTGCCCAAAAATGCCCCAAAAATGCCCAAAACGACGTCTTCACCGGCGCTTTTGTGGACGGTGAGGACCCTCCACTCGTACACCGCTTTCTGCCTGGGCTCACTCGGTGCTGATGCTGTTGACGAAGTCTGTGCTGCCTTTGAGATCCTTCGAGGTGCCTTTGTTGCGCCATCAAGGATCACTCATTCTTACTGCATACCATATTCTGATGAGATATCAATAGCAAGTTGGTCAAAGGGTCTTCGATCATCCCGTTGGGCAAATCCGAGATCTCGTCAGTATACGGACATAGATGAAAAGTGTCTCTCCTGCATGTCCTGTAGACAGAACAGGTACACAAATTCTACCTTGGGAACTGCAAGTTCCTCGTCCGTCTCCCAGACCTCTCTCTTTTTCTGATATTCATCATTCGTCATCTTCGACTACCCACCTCGACTTCACAAACCAAGCCTTGACAAGCTGCCACACAAACCCCAAAGCAAACCTCGTCTGCCCCTGCTCATACATCTGGCCCCTCTCACCAACTTCCGCCATCTTACACGCAATCTCGACAATCGGCCCCGGAAAGAGGCGCCTCTCGCTGCTCCGAGCGTACGCCGCCACCAGATCGTTCCCGTTCGTGATGCCACCTGTGAATATGCAACCATAATTTAGTAAAACAGACATGAAGAGCAGAAAGAGAAGAGAAAGAAAAACATACCACAGCTCCAAAGATTACCATCCCGACACCATCGAAACTCATCCCCCACAAACCTCGCCTCCGGAAACCTCTTCTTCAAAACATCCTGCAGACCCCTCGGCCCGCACACCTTCCTCCCCTCCAAAACCCCCGCGGCACCGCACAAGAACGCGCCCGTACAGACACTCAGCACGTCCGTCCTCTTTCCCTTTCCTCCCTCCCCCCCCTCCTCATCAGCATGTCCCCTCAAAAACGCCAGCGTCTCCTCATCCCAGCTCGCCGCCGGATCCGGTCCGGGGACGAGCAGGATATCCAGCATGCCCGGCTGGACCTCCGGGCTGGAGACGTCGTGCGTCGGCCGGATCTTGACGCCCGCCGTCAAGGGGAGCTGAGGAGGAACAAGGTGTCCTGCTGCCTCCGGGGCCGAGTTCGAGCTACAGCTAGAGCTAGAGCTGGGGCTGGTCTTTGCAGAAATGTAGCAGATTTCCACGCTTGGCGCCACGTTCGGGATGTGTTTGGGTATCATGGGCAGACCGCCCAGGTACTCTCTCGACATCATAAACAAGACGTCTACGCAGGCCATGTCGAGGAGCTGACACTCGGACGGCATAAAGACCCCAATCTTGACCATTTCGGTACTGGTGTTTGCCATTTTGTGTGTGTTTTTTTCTTCTTCTTTGAGTTTTGTCGTGAAATTCTACAAGGTGGATTGAAGCAATCCCTGAATGGGGCACTGGATTCCAACAATATGTTCAATGCGTCCTGGCATGGCTGTCTTGGTATCATCGTCAAGGTAACAAACCCCATCCAGCTTTATACTGAAGCCAAACAGCCTATCGACCGCCCGTCCTCCGAATGCTGCCGTCCTTTACATCGCGGTCCGAAAGCCTATCGGTATAGCCAACAACCAAGCAGAAAGACACTGGGCATCCGGTGGCTGACATTCATGGAAGCTGATTGGGTGTCATCTCTTAACTTCCGAGAGGCTTCGGGGTTCTAGCGGCTCGTCCTCAGCGGTGCTGGTCCGTCCAAAGGATGACCGACCATTGTAAGCTGATTGGAACGGCTTCCCGTCCTTCCAGGTTGGCTACGTTCGTTCAGAATTCTCTCCTCCATGATGATCAATCCTCTTGCATCTATTAACGAGGGAGCTTTGTCCGGGTGGTTTCCTCTAAAGATGCGTGAGGGTGCTTCATGTTCATGTCTACCATACTCGCCATGATCAACTCATAACCACAAGGAACCCATGATAAGTCACCGAGAATGGGTCGCAAGCAATGTATAATTCACGTCAATTTTATCGTGGCAACGTTCTTCCTGTTAACCACGCCGTCCAACCCACGTCTTAGCGTCAATTGCCATGATCATGAATCGTTCTATGTACACACAAGATTAAATATTATAGGACTCGTCCAAATTCATGGGCTCCGGGATTCTGTTGTGTCGGCCTCCCGTCTTGCTCTTTTGGAGCCCATTGTCAGCTGTTCCTGCTGGGCTTGTCCCGTCCCCAGCGGATGCAGTCATCTTTCGTCACCATCCCGGCATCTTCCTGCCGCTGGTGGGTGAGCCTCGTCATGCTGGCCTGGATATGTCCGACCCCATCGTTTCCACTTCGTCTTCCGTATAAGCGAATGCACTTGGACGGCTCTCTCGCTCGTCAAGTTCCTGCGTATTGCTCCGAGAACTCCGGTTTGAGGCCCCATAAATCCCCGAAATCTCTAGAATGCCGATACCATGCCATGCCATGCATATCAAGAATGCCCTCATCTATTTACACGTGAGGCTCTTGGGAGCCCCAACTTCTTCAAACACGTAATCGAGTTAAAAACCGCCGCTTGGTGGGTCTTCCTGGAATTGGGCTGTGCGTCGAATTGAAGAAAAAAAATAATGTGAGCCATCGACGCCTCCACGGGGAGGGCGAGGTCCTGTTGAAGAGTAGATAAAAGTTGACACAGAAGAAAATAATTGTCATTACGCGATTTCGGCTGCCGTGAGGGATTTTGCTCTTTGCCGGGTAACCTTTTTGCTGACGGAGTAGACCAAGTCTAGCGTCCAGAAATGGCACAACTGTGCCTGGGCGCAAGGAATGGCACCGTAGAGAGGGGCGACGAGCGGAACCATTGCGTAGTCAATGAAGTTCTTCTTGACGTTGCGGTAAGAGAAGTTCATGCCCTCAGACAGACCAGCCTCGGTCATCTCACGTTGACGGGACTTGACGCAGATGCGGTGGAAGCTCTCATACAAGAAGAGGTAGAGCGCAATTTCCATGAAACCGAAAGTGCGCAGAATGTTGCAAACGTCGAAGATCCAGCTGAGGTGAGCAACTTCCTTGTTGCCCTCCGTGACCCACACGTACAGAGTAGAGGAAATTACGAAAATGGTCATCTGAAGGGGAAGGAAGTGCGCCTCGAAGAGACGGTGGAACAGGTAGACGATGCGTTCCCAGTTAGGAGACTGCAGTGTATCGTGGGTGACGTCGGAGAAAACACCGCTCTCTCTGGGCTGTTCGGGATCCTGTTGGTCCAGCTGCGTCTCGGGGACGTAGACATCAGAGGCGTCGCCCATGGAGTTGTGAAGCGGACGGAAAGCGCGAGAGGTGTGCTTCCTTTCCTGCCAGAGTTCGACAACCTTTCGGAGCGCATATCCGGAATCGAGAGCACCCCACATATGTCTCATTGCCTGCTTGTAACGAGCCTGCATGTCCGAGTAGATACCGCGGAGACCCTTGGAGCCATCGCCACAGACGTTGCTCTGACTGACGGGGCTGACGACAGTCCTGACGGTCAAGTTGCCGTTCAGCGCGAAGAAGCACTTGAGGTACATGTGCAAATCTTCTCCAATAGCCTCGTTATCGCAGTCCCAGCCGCCGACGCGGTCAACAAGTTCCAAGGGCACGGAGTAGACGGAGGTGGGAGGCGCGATTGTAGATCCGGAGTACAGTCCCGACATACCACCAGCACCCCAAAGGATGTCGGCGACACGGACAATGGCGGGAACACTGTGGGCGTTGCGGTCGAAGATGATTGGAGCCGCGTACATGGTGGTCTTTGCTGTTTCGGGATAGGCCAGGTGCATGGTAGTCAGTAAAGCGAAGAAGTTGGATGAGAGGTGGCTGTCGGCTGTACACCCCACGTTTCTGTCAGCGAATCATCCTACATGCGCAAAAATTGGAAACATTGACTGCGGCAGATTCTCAGAATCTGGCATGCGCACGTACCGTCAAGACCCGTAATGATCACATCCTTGCGGGTGGTCATTGAATATTTTTGGCTCAATTTGCGGGCAGCCCATGCCACGTTGCTTCCCTTGCCAGCGGATTCACCTGGGATGTCGGACGGATGGATGGTGTAGTCGATGCTGCGGAACTTCTTGACGAACTCCTGAATGAGGGTCATGGCCTTGAGCTCGACATTGGGCTCGCGTTGTTCCATTCCCAAGTAGACCTAGCATGCAAGTGTCAGTTTTTGTACGCGTCTCAAACAAGAACGACAGCATTCGCCAGATCGGTGGTCATTTACTACCAGGGCAACTGTGTGGCAAGGGGGAGGGGGAGGGTCCAAATGTACTCACATCGTAGCAGCTGCGAGCTTGGGGGTGCGAAGCCAGCACCTCGAGAGTCTCCTTCAGGGTATCCATCTCCTCCTTGTAGTTTGGAACGATAATAGCGTGGATGACGCGGTCGGGTTCAGCATCACCATCGGTGTATAGTTCGGGCTCCATGTCGCCAGCTTCACTGCTAGACGCAGAACCACCGTGGGAGGACGTGAGGGTCTCCGAGCTGGATAAGGAGGTCGAGGAACCACGGCGGCGGTGGGAGAGTCTATAGTCTCTGAGGGTCCTGTTGCGAGCGATCTTCTTCAGCTGGCGGGTCATGTCAAAGACAGCCCAGCAGCATCGGAGAGGGAAAGCGAAGACGAGGATGTGAATAAACAAGCAGTAGTAGGCGTAGATTTCGGTCCAAATGCCAGCGCCTTTGGTAGTCGAAGTCGAAGAGCTAAGGCTATCCTCGTGCAAATAGTTGTGTGCAGAAGCAGCTGATTCCTTTGAGATAACCCAGTAACTCAGACCCAACAAGCCCAGCATGGCCAAGCCGCCGACGCGGCGCGAGGCCCAGGCCAAAATCGATGACATGGTGACGACCGAGGATGTTGCTTCGGTGAGGCGCGTTGCCAGCGATGGAAAGATCGACGATAAGCCGACAGCTCAGGAAGGTCGACGACGGAAGGCGAGGTTGTCTGTCTGTCGAGGCAAGCAGCCGATAAGAGGCTTGGAGAAATGTGCGAAGCCTGACTGGGGGGTGGAAGTTTGCTCGAGGGAGAGCGAGACCAGCGACTGTAGACAGCAAGTGGGAGAGGGAGAGAGGAATGGAGAGGGAAGTAGGGCGGAGGAGGAGAATCAGGAAACCTCTGGGCCGAAATTGCGAAGGGCACGCGTAGAATTGGAGCCCTACCGGTCGAGGTTGATGGTGGTCTCTCGCGCTCTCTCACTCTGTCTCTTGGAGAGGGTTGAGTGTGGGTGAGGAGGAAAGCAGGTGACAGTCAGGAGGAAGGGGGGGAGGGGGGAGAGAAGAAGTGAAAAAGGGAGAGACTGGGAAGAATTAGAGTGCGCCTTGTCGGATGATATTCACGAGGAGAATAGCGACTAATGGATACGGGGACAGACTGAGGAAGAGAGAAGGAGGGAAGAAGTGCAAGGTAGTGAGAGTGGATGATTTCTTGGATAGGGACCTGGGCATGAAGGAAGAGCAGGAGCCAGGAGGTAGTAGGTAGGTGGACACGGGTACAGTAAGGTCGGGTCGGGTCTGCTAAGCTAAGGTAAGGTGCGGTACCTTAAGGTCCAGTCCAGTCCACCTCAGTGTTCCGCGGGTGATACACTACAGACAGGTAATATTGTAAGGCAGGCCTGGTACGCAGTGAGGTAGACCATACTGCGTAGACGGTAGACGAGGGGGGGGGGAGACGGCAGAGAAAGGGGGCGCGCTGATTTCTCTGAGGTGAGGTGCGGCGCGCCTTGCTCTGGACTCTCACCTCTCTAGGTATCCGTACGGAGTATTCGTACCAGCCCTCTTTCCCTTTCACACGCGCACCTCAGAGCTTGTTTGCGTTGGACCAGACCAGACTGGTTCCAGATGGGACGTGGGGAGGGAAAAGGGTCATTTGTACAGAGTACTTGTGTCGGCCCAGCGCCACAGCCTGACTTGGGTGTGAAGGACCCGCTCCCAGATGTACGGATACCAATATTCTCTCTGCCGCCAAACTTTGTCTGTTTTATTTTCATTCTCACCAAAACAACCAACAGGACCCGCGTATGAAGACGGCTCCGATACAACGCTGGAGTTCTACCGTCACGGACAACTATTTGCACCATCTGCTGAGGCATACTATGGAAGGGAGGTATAAAGGAGGTGCTCGCCGCCTGCAAGATGAGGAGGGAAGACGTGCAGCTTGCAAAATCGTTGAACTGGAGCATTGGACTGGACAATGGGGGTAGTAGAAGCCTCTGGATTGGCGAGACGACGAGCTGGGGGTCTCCTAGCACCGGTGATGGCAGCCGTAACAGACCGGGGGGTTACTAAGGCACCTTGATCCGGAGAACTGCAGCAGATTGAGGTGGTGAAGAGGCGAGGCAGGCCGCAGGTCACAGAGAGCAATGAAAGAAAAACGAGAAAGAAGCAAGAAACAGAGCGAGGGTCGAGATGGTTCCAGTGTGCCAGAAGCCAGACTAGACCAATTCAGGACTACTTTATGGATCGTGATTGGCTCAAGAGAAAGAAGGATCGTCTCTGATTGGCCCAAGCAGCAGGGGCCTTGGGGTATGCCGTGCTGAGGCTAGCGCACCTCGCCCGCTCGCATCGCATCTAGTGGGCTGCCTCTGCGCCTGCCTCACTCCCATCCTCTGCCTCGATAATTGCTTTAGCGCGAAAAGGGACGTGGGCCCATGAGAGCTCGCAGGGGTGGCACGGATACACGGACAAGGTCTGGTTGCCTTGGGAATTTTCTGCGCTTGTACTGAATCGCCCCGCGGGAAATGAGAAGGAAGAAATTACCGAGTAAGCGGTCAATAGCGAGCACTGTGTACGGCCGGGATGTATAGGTGAGTCTGTCTTTTTTGCTCTCTTTTTTCTTTCCTTTCGTCGTGTTGATGATGACCAATCGACATCGAACTACGGAGTTAGCCAGCCGAGTACAGTAGCGTTCGTTGGTTTCGCTTTCCATTGTGACAGCCTCTCGTGTCGATAGCGATAACGATTGAAAGGAAAGCACTGCCATGCCACCATGCCATTTGCTTGTCACGTTATAGTAACTTGAGCCAAGGAAGTCTCATACTCTGCGAGGCTTGGCCAATATTCCAAGCATGAGCGGAGCCAATATTCGTCAACAACTCATTCTAGAGTCTACGTAGTAGTGTAGGCAGTCGAATTGCAGAGCGTGGGAACCCCTTCAGATAGATTGACTGAGCCGGGCAGCTTGTTGTGATGATGAAAGTGTAATCATGTGCGACGCTGCGTCATGATCGAGTGCGAGCCGGTAATGCTAGACAGGAGCTTGTCGGGCACTGCACAGCCGCACTTGGCGAGTGGCTTCACTCAAGCTCGATTCGAACCTTCTTTATCCTGTGTCATCTCTTGCGTATACATTTGATGCTTCAGCCTTGGTTGATGTTATATTCCTCTTGACTCCAGCCTCAATGCCGAGAGTTCTCTCAGACCACGGTCTTTGGTACAGATAAGGTGATAAGTACCTCCCTGAGAGTTTTTACTCTCTAGACCATTCTGAGCATCATCACATAGCTTCCTGAGAGAGAAAAATTAGCAAGAGCCAACAATCGCACCTTTTACGATGACTGGGACGTAATTTCACAGGATCCCCGCACAGTAAGCGCTCTTCATGCAGCGATGCCAAGTTCATAGGCCAAAGACTGCCTGCTGCCTGTGCCTTTTTCCACGCTAAGGACGCTAGAGACGCTAAGGTGCCGTGGGGTCGCTCCTCCCGCTCTGACGGGCTGGCTCGCCCAAACGGGATATTTGGAAAGTACCTCCCCACTAACAATTTTCAAGTGCTCGATCCGGGGGCGTTACAGTGCAGTGAAAGGTCCACCTTGTGCTGCTTTCTTACCGCCAGCTCTCCACCTCACCGAGCAAGCGTGCGGCAGGCAGGGGACCCGTGAGCCTGTGACAGGTACGTACTGCGTACATACATACAGCCAACAATACTGCGGATGGATACTCCGTACGGATACAAAGTGCAAGGCAACTCGACATCCGATGCTGGATCCCGCGGACATAGTACGGCGCTCCCGCGATGACAGAGCTGGAAGGCACCACGGCACGCAGGCGGCAGGAGTAATAACTCATCAACAATGGAGACTGGAGCCGGACCCGGACCTCCTGAATCCCCATTCCATTCAAGCCCTGCAAAAACATGCAAACAAAGGAGGTCCAGAGCTCAACAGCCCATAATTGTTTCTGCATTCTCATTCAGGCCAGTCTCGGTGGTGGCTCTGGTGGATGCTCAGGATGGAAAAGGCGTAGAATCCGGCCGGGAATAATCGACAATGCAATCGACAAGCAAGTACTCCGTGTTGTGTACGAATACTTAGGCTTCTGTGGACTCGTGGAGGAGGATTCCTTTTGTGCTAGGTTGTGAAGCTTAGCCATCCTTAGTGGAAAGTCGCTCAGGGGGCGGTGTACGGAGTACGGATTCAGATTACTGTGTAGTAAGCAGTCGAAGCTTAACCTCACCACCGAACGTGGGGCTTTCTTTACCTTACTGTTCAAGCTGGTAGTTTTGAAAAGTAGGTAAGTTCTCACACCTTCTTCCTTCCTTGCAGTCGCAAGGCGCCTGCTTAGTCGATAAGGTGTCATAGGGTAGAGGCTAAGGCGCCTTACCTTACCTCAAGCAGGCCCGGTCTGAATGATAATACCTGAGGCAGATAATAAGTGAGGCAGCTTCCGCTGGCTGCTTTTCTTTTTGATGATTGCACCTCGGCTGCTTCGACTCCATCGATTTCTAATGATGTGCCTTGATCTTTGTCCTAACTTGCCCACTTTGTCAATCCAACAGGTCAACTTCGTCCGAGGATTGTTCCCGTCAATTTGCGGCCACCAGCCAGGTAGTTCGACATGCATCATACATGTGCGACACGACGGCTGTATCTGTACCCACGGCATCAAGTTCTTATCAGCTGCCAGCTGTGAAAAGCACACAATGACGACCAAGCCACGACTATGCTCTCGAGCACTTGGGTTCACATCACAAGCTCAAGACTAATACGACCCAAGCTACCCGGGAGCTCAAGATAGTCGATAATATCATCAAACACCCAAAGCTCGACACCACTAGTCCTTTCTCGATTTAACCAACAACAACGCCTATCATTCCTACGATTCGACCGTGCGTTGACCATCCGGCTAAGGAAACATGTCGAGTATTCTTGGGAGCAGTCAACACTGCCACTATCCGCGTTTGCCAGGCCAGCGAGGATGAGCAGCCATGCGCCATTGATGCCGCCTCTTGTGCCACAGTTCCACGGGACAAAGACGGTATCCAGGGCCACCGCCGCCGCCGCTGGATCTATACTATGCTTGCGTGCGAGGACGAATCGAAACACACGGCGGGCAGATGCTGCTGGCGGTACCACGCTATCGCAGTCTCACAGACGATGCTTCAGGTCTGGGAGATTTACCTACCACTGCGGCGCTGCAGGACGCTTCTAGCTGCCGGGACCACATGCAAAGTGGTACGTAGGCACGCCAAGCGGAGCAAATCGTGGCTCAGTCTGAGAGCGCGCACACCTTTTTACACGTCGCGACACCGTCTAATGAGCTGCAGTCTCGCAGTCTCGTAGTGGCCATTGGTTCGTTCGGGGGTGCTTCCCCAACCCCAGCTCTTACAAGCGGCGCTGCAGCTTGAGCTGTCGACAGGCGGCGGGTCGAAGGAGGGGGTCCCTTCCAGCGTGGCAGCTGTGGCTGCCGTCGTCATCCATCACGGCTTTGCTGCGGCATCGTCGTCATAGGGCGAGAAGATGCGACCCTAGAGAAACGAGGTCATGGGTAGCTAGACGACGAACGATAACGATGACCAGCGAAACGCGCCTACACAGGCGAAATTGGCCACGGCATTGGCAACGGGACGGCAAGGCAGCATGCCTGCCGAATGTCATCTCATGGCATGCATTTTTCGACCAGACCTGTCGCACGCTTTTCGCCTTCCAGGGTTCGCATCGATGATTACACTCTGGTAGACTAGCCTGCGGTCGAGGCCCCGCGAACGATATTCTTAGTCGTCCCACCATCGCCAAACTTACACTTGGTGTCATCCTGCGCTGAATCTGACGCTGTCCAGTCAGTCCAATCCAGTCACAGTGCGGCCTTCCTGCTCACTCACCGTCGGACTGGAGAGCCGATGTGGGATCTCGTGGCGTGCTGGGATACCGTTGCTGCGAAATGATGGGATGCTGAGACATGGCCGTTCTCCAATTTTCTTCTTCACGTAGCCTCTACGGCTCCTCTTGATCTCTGCCTGACCCCTTTGCAGAGTCGCAATGGCCAAGGAGATCAAAAATTTTGAAGTCCAAATCAGCAGATGAAAATCAGGCCTAGGTGCTCTGGCCAGGTCTCTACCAGGGCCCCAGGGTTGCAAGGCCGCAAACGTGCCTGTCAAGATTCAGCAGTGACGGGTCACGGCAGCCGGGGCGGGAAATTTCGACCTGCATCCCGTTGACTTGGATGCCCTGGTCACACTGTCCGATATCGACATGTGCCCGACAAGTGCATATCACCAACAATCCATCTCGCCAGTCCAGTCTCAACTACGCTCAGACACCGGGCGGTTGGTCTTGGTCAATGCAGGTTCGGCGTGGCCTCGCGAGCCGCATCAACATCATCAAATCAACGCCGTTAGCTTCTAGCGCATTTCATCAGCCCCGTGCTCACCGCATCCAAGCCATCTTGATATGCTCGTGCTAGCAATGGCATCCATTCATGGCTTGGCTGGTCTCGTGCATTCTACAGACGCCTGAGACGGAATGGCAATGAAATAGCAGAGACTTGAGATTAAACCCGCAACATGCATATAGCAGGTAGGGCAGGCCACAGACAAGTCTTCGCATACTTTGTTCGTACAGAACACGAGAATACCAACTTTGGCAGAGGGTTCACCTTTGGAGGCGGGTGGCGTCGAATGGGCTGCCATCCTTGTACGCGTAGCTGACGGTGCTTATTCCTCCCGGACAAATACAGGCCGCGATATGTCTGAAAGAAAGGATACCGCGGGCTCTTCGTCCGCTTCAGGCTAATTCTTGTATTGTTCGCTGGTAGAGTTGCCCCAGCCGCACTCCGCAATCACACAATCACAAGCGAGAACTTCCTTCTTCCGTAATGAATAAGGCGAGCATGCTGATCCGAGGATTATCGGATATGAGCTTTTGGTCACAATACGATGAGGGAGACCATGTCCATCGGTTGCTTCGTAATTCACGCACATGTCGGGCGCAATTGCTCCCTCAGCTTAACTCCGATCTTGGCAGAATCGTTCCATTCGCGACATCTAGAGACTCGACCACCTATTCAGCAGCCGACGCAAGCACCGGGAGGGTATCCCTATTCCGCGAACCTCCACCATGGGAGTCAGCAATGAGCATTGGAGATCCATACGTATGATGAAGAAGGTCAGCAACAAGAGACGACCGAGGAAGGCGTATTGCGTGTGCCAGGAGCACCTATAGGGGGGTTGCCGGATGGTGGGGTGGGCGAATACTTGGCGGGCCGGCGTTTGAGATTGAACGTTTCTGATGCTCCGAATCTGACTGGCCGACTGCACCAGTACCTTGCAAGGCAAGACATGGAGTTCCAGGTCTCCTAGCCAGCCGACCGTGTTAAGAGGTAAATGGCCCGGCTACGGCCACCAATATGGTTCTAAGCCCAGTCTTCGGGCTTTCCTGGGGGAATCGGAGCGCCTCCTCCAACACCATCTCACCTCGATACTCGCCGTTGAACCCCATCAACCACTGTTTAACTCCATCGTTTTACATTACTAGAGGATTACCGCAGTATATATAGACGCTACCCTGCCCTCGAATTCTGCACTATTTAACCTTAACCCTTTTTTTACTTATCTTTTCCTCTATTTTACTCTCTCTCTTATTAAAAAATTATTAAAATTATAGTTTTAATAACTTATTAATAAGCTAGTATTATTATTTAAAAATAAATAACTTATTTTTATATATAAATATTAAAAATCTTATTATTATAAAAATAATAATAAATATATTAAAGTATTTAAAAGAGCTTTTTAATAAATTTTTAATATTATTTAAAATAATTATTTTTAAATTATAAAAAAAAGTCGAGGCGCTATATTGATATAGCCCTATTTATCTTATTAATATTAATAATACTTTTTTTAATATAGGATATATTAATAATATTTTATAACTATGTTATTACGTTTTATAAATTGTATTTAATATTAATAAGGCTTTTAGCGTTATTTATTAAGTTTTTTATTAAAATTATTATTATAAAGTTAGTTTAGTTATTAATATTTTAATAAGTATTTTAACTTAGTATACTTAAAAGCTCTTATAGCTTTTAAAAAGAGGTTTTTAAAAAACTTATAATTAAACTTTTTATTTATTATAAATAAAATTATTATAATTAAAACTATAGTACTACTTATAGACTTTAATAATAAGTAATTAATAATATAATTATTTTTTTTATAATAAGCTTAAAAAAATATTTTAATTTAAGTACTAAGTAAGTACTATACTATTTTATTAAAACTATATTCTTATATTTATAACTTAGAAAGAATTAACTTTCTTTGATAATAAGGTACTTAGAACCCTATTAACGCCGGTCGCAACCTAGCTTATTGCCATTGCGGAACCTGCATCGACCCGCACTCGCGGATCGCCATAACAGTGGCATGCCACATAATCAGCAGATGCAGATATCAACGGCAAGATTATCGGAAAAGAGGAGGTATTGGAGAAACGGAGACAACCAAGGGAACGTAGTTACGAACCACACCTTGCATCCACCAATCGACGATTTGACTCTGTCGCCGCCCAACGGTCACTTGGCAGGCCTTGGCTTAGTCCGACACCCATCAGGATTAACGACTATGTGTGATTTGCGAGGTCACTGAGCCTTGAATCCACAAGAAGAAAGGAGTCGAGATTCAAGTTGAGAACATCCATCGTGGCACAAGAGCCCCCGTCTCCCAGCTTGAGTCGAGACATCGATGCGTGTCCGGTGCGGCTGAAGCATCCGATGTCTTGATGATGAGCTAGAACTCAGCGTGTGATGGCTCCCGCAAGCCTCACACCGAATTGGTGCAATTATTGCTCCCCTCGGAAACCTACGTCTGCAAAGTACCCAACCCACGCATAGCGGACGGTTTGCTCTTGAGACACCAAATCCATGGACCAATGTGGCACTCAGACTCGTCCGGTCACAAGTGGCATGTCTCAACATGTTGCGATTCAGAAGTTCGCCCCATCATATCCGTCTGCGTATGCATCTGCCCGTTCACCACCGGGGCCGTCTTGTCGGCCGACGGGGTCCTGTTCTGCTCCAATGCGGGAAACAACTTTGAAACAAGCCCTGCGAGACAGTCGAGACGGGCATACTTTCTCTTGCACAGCACAGGATGAAGCTTGCAGGACAGCGTGCGTGGCCTCAAGAAAGCAAGAACGGTTGATGGGGTGTTAGGGGACCATTATGCTGGACTTGATTCCTGCAGCGACTCGCCGTTCATGTTCCTCGAGGCTTCTCGAAGCATACGGTCGCGAATGACAGAGATGAGGCAATATGCGATCCGCGCTGTCAGGGCAATTTTCGACGACCAAGACTTCACGGCATACTTGCAACCTCCCTTTGCCAACACGACCTGTTTCTGGCCAGTCATTCCAGTCACCCATGAAACGACTTGCCTCAGATGTTGAAAGCCAAAGAACAAAAAAAAACTCACCGCCCAGAGTCTTCCATCCCCGATGACCCCGACAGCCGGACGGATCAACCAACCAGTCACCTTGCGGGACTGACATGTCGCATCATCGGATCCGGGGTGAGACCTTCGGCTGCCCTGTGCATTGCTTCCCCAGCCAACGCGTCACTTGTGCTTCGGCCGGGCGGGCTTCGCTGGCCGTCCGGGCTTATGCCGAATCGGATTTTCCTTGGCAGCCGGCGCGGGTGACGACAGCATCCCGTTCAACAGCCGTCCCCTTGACTTTTCCCGGGGCGACCCACCCCCAGAGCATTTCACACATACCGACGTCAAACACGGCTCACTTGTCTTTGAACGAATTATGTTTTGACCTGTAGAGTATTGATTATTGAGCTGACGACGCCAATCGTCTGCGATGACGTCGTGGTTCTCGGTGGGCTATGAAGGTGTGAGGTAAACCTTTTCTCGGCCTTGTGGTCTTTTATCGACTCCGTCTGTGATGTTCACCTCTCTTTGCAATCCCATCGGCAGCCCTTTGGAGGCGCAGCGCGCTATTACGCTGCGCTGTCAGCAACAGAGCCACCCAGGCCCAACTTTGACATATTCAACGGTGCCCGCGGGTGCGTGTCACCGCAATATACCTTTGAGCTTAGATGCCGTCCTTCCGTAGCCCCACCCTCGTAGGCATGCTCGCGACTTTCGAGAAAAATCCTCATCCGTAGACTCCGAATGCAGCCTTGAGAAGGATACTAGGGCATGTCAACACCCAGTAGAATGATTCCCCCGCAGATGCTCGTATTCAGAATTCTCGCTGGGCCATCTTGTTTCTGCGGCATCCCCAGCTGAAGTGCCGAGCCACGAGGCTGGGTCAGAGGCTCTCGCAGAGCAGTGAGGCACACGATCTATTGATACCGAAGCATCTTCTGCGAGACATTTCGTGCGGCAGCCGAAAGATCGAGCTCGTCCAACGGGTAAGTACGTTCTAATCTACCGCTTTCATACAACCTTTTCGAAGAGTTCCTGGATGGGTTTCGCAGCCTACACCGACGGACGTTAGAAAATCGATGCGCATGACAAGTTTCGTCAAACGGAAGGAAAGCATTGTAGAACTCACATCGATGAACTTCTCCAAGTCTTTATCGAGGTTGGCCAAATCGTCCTTGCGCTTCTTGTTCTCGGCAATGAGCTTCTGCTTCCTGCCCACCAGCTCGAGCCTCTGCTGCTCGAGAGCTTCGCGTCCCACTCGCTCGTGGCCGATGCGCGCAATCATCAAGGCGTCCTCGTCGGCGTCGGCGTGCTCTGGTTGCTCGGCGAGGAATTCTTCGACGGGGATGAGAGGTAGCTTCTGGTAGGTGTGGCTGGAAAGTCACAAGGTGTTAACTATGGATGAAACTTCCATCGACCGCGCCATATAGAAGAAAAAGACAGAAGATTAATAAAGAAAATAAATATATATATATATATAAAGGCCTCTCCCACTTACTCGTAAGATTCGCAGGCCTCAATCTCGCCCTCGAGATGGCGCTGCTCGTAGTAGAGGTTCTGCAGCTGGAGGTGCAGGCGGTCGACCTCGTGGCGCGCCTCGGCGGTCTGGGCTTTTGTGTCCCTGGCGTCGAAGTTGGCGGACCGGTGCAGGCCGCGGAGGTGCGAGATGTTTGTGAGGAGGAGTTTTTGCTCTTTTGACAGGGCGGCTTGGAGCTCTGGCGAAGTTGAGCCCGACTCTTCGGCGGTGCGGGTGATTTCGGTGAGGAGGTGGAGGAGCTTGGAGGCTTGGTCTTGGGCGTAGCCTGAGGTCTGGAGGACCGCGCCGAGTTTCTTGTCTGATACGAGCTCGTTGACTACCATTGTTGCGGTTTCTCGTGCTTTATTCGTGGGGTTGTGAAGTTGACGATGAGGGGTGGCAGGGTATGGTGACAGCTGCGTCGGTCTCGATTTGAATTTCGTTGATGTGTTCGCCAGAGCTGGTTTGCTTGGTCGCCGTTTTCCGAAGAAAGGATTGTTCGTGAAAGCTTCGGGGTGAAGTCGGGATCGCGTGGTCTCTCTTGTCGCGTGCGCGCGCAAGGCTGAAGGGAAGGCGAGGTAAGGTCGTCCGGCGCGATCTGACGAATGGGATGGATTGGGCGGTTTTGCACCTTTTGCGCAAACAGACGGGTACGCTGGAAGGGCTGACGTACGAAACTCCAGCCTTGTGGTTTGCTTGTGAAAGGTATTCGGTAAGGTGATTGAGGTTGCGCCTCAAAAGTCGAAAGCGTGGGCCGTGGCGTGGTGGTTGGATCTAGTCTGCTTCCGATGCTTTTGCCAATATTCCCATAGCTCACCACTACTGTACCGTAGCGGACGTTGGAAAATCAGTGCAGCCGCACCGCAGGGACCGTGCTTTCGGTAGCATTTCCCAGCTCCCGTGGTCCCGTCCCACCACCTCCAAGATGCTGAGAACCTGGACGGGAACACAATGTACACTACAATCTACAAACCGCCATGAGCGGCGTTCTGCTTGATCCTCAAGGCTGTGGACCGACTCATGCTCGGGCGGATCTCATGGTCAGGAGGAAACGGACTGGCCGTAGGTGAGATAAGGTAGGGAACGCATCGCACTGGTGAAGCACATGCTGGGCCGCAGCAAGTGATACCACAATACAGAGCTTACAGGGTAGAACATTACCGTACATACATCTTTAGGCACGCCATGGGGAAACTAGCTGGAAGCCTTATCGGATAGTGCCTTTGGGACTAAGCAGCTAAGGTACCTTGAGGATAGTCATGGACAACAATGAGACTCTAAGACATTGGATGTGGTCTTGGGGTTGTCCATCACAAGGCACGCTAGGGCGGGAATTTCCCCAATGTCGAGCGTCATCTCCCAAGCCTTTGGTTTGCCCTGCTGTCCGCAGACTAAGGTACGCATCATAAGCGGGAAGATCCGAATGGGAGTGGTAAGAGAGACGGTGGTTCCAGCGATTTTGAAGCTATTACCTGAGATGAAACTTTGGGGCTCCGTCATTGTTGATTCCTGCCAGGTCGGAAACACATGACACCTGACGGATTTCCTCGAACCTCAACCCTGCTCCTTTGAAGAAGAGTCTCGGAGCTCTTTCATGCACATGCTAGTGTAAGGTGAATAGCGTACGGAGTACGGACCATGCCTTGGCCCCTCCGTCTCACAAGGCATTGACAGCCGTTGGGTCGTCATCCCAAGGCTTGGTTTTCTTACACATGTACGGAGAACGCATGGCAACGGCACGGCAAGGCAAAGTCGGCAACGGGCTGCATGTTGGCATTCACGCATTTCTGAAGATCTTACACTAGTCCGTCACTCTGCACCAACTTTTGTGTTTCGTTGCTGCAGGTGCAACAGGTGAGCAGTAAGCACTCTCACTGGTGGACGTAAGAAAGAAAGAGAGAGGGAAAAAAAAAAAAAAAAAAAGGACAGTGGTCCCTTGTGGGAACGGGTGCGAGGAAGGGATGACGACGATTGGTGGCGCGCATCAGAGGCCCGCCACGCCACGGCACGCGCGCCTTGGGCTGGGGCCGAAGTTTACCGGGCCATGCAGGCGCTGGACCCGCTCGGGGCCAGCAAAGCGAACCGAACAACAGCCTCGAGATTCACAGCTCATGCGGAATTCCCTCTCTCAACACATTGAGCTACTTCCCTTGATTGTGTTTTTGGCAATGACTTTACTCTTCTGTCCTGCCCTGTCCTGAAGTAGTTCCAGTTGGTCTCTGGTTGATTGGACTCGGATGCTTTACCGAGTGCCCCTCTGTTCAGTCGCTTTTGTGTGTTGTTCCGATGGCGGGTGTCATGGCCCTTTAGAGCTGCAGAAAAACCCACATTGCCCCGAGATGAGAAGAGCCAACAACCCCGGCCTCTGCAAGGTACCTTACGAATACTATCCGTAAACCACTTTGCGCGGCTTGGCTTGGGCGCTTCCGCAACTCATTCGCAATTCCCCATCGTAATAGTTTCCCTCTTTCCTTTGTTACTTTTGCTCGTTCTCTGTTTCTCTTCCCCTTTATCTTTCGGATCGCTCTCGGTAATTGAGTACAAAATACTTTGCGTCTTGCTGACACAAAGCGCCAGTTCAGGTCTTGGGAATTCGCCTCCCGCTCTGTTCTGTCTTGTCTCTCAGGCTCTTTCTCAACTGCCAAAGCTCCCGTCTCGTATCTCTTGGCTCCATTATTTGCATCTGCTCACTGTTCGTCATTTTTTCTTGAAAAAAAAACAGAAAGCAAAACGCACGTGCAAAAAGGATCCGACCCGAGGAGCTCTCGTGTTTGTTTCCTCGCAAGACAAGCACCCAAAAGTGTATCCGTACTGCATTTCGCCATCCGATACGGAGGTGCGTCTCAATAGTCCTTATAGTTGCTACCAAGACCAACCCCTGCCATAGACAGGGGAGTCGACAAGGGGCTAGCTAGGGTATATACAAGCAGCAGAATTTAGCTACTATAATTATCGTTAATTATCGTCGATTTTATAATAAAAAAGCGTTAATTAAGGTTAATTAGTAGCTATTTAATAATATAATTTAGCCCGTTAACCCTCTTTATATTTATTACCGCCCTTTAGTATAATTATTTACTTAATATAATAAGGTATCTTTTTTATTTATTTCTAAATTTCTTTTAATAGTAATACGTATTAGTACTCTTACTAACGACGTATTACTTTTATTTAGGACCTAGGCGCCCCCTTTTTAATAATTTATCTCTTTATTTATAGTTAGTAAGGTTCGATAGGATTAAGGTCGGGCGAATTACTTAGCTAAAAAAGCTTTATAATTTTAAAAAAGCTATATATATAGTAAGTAAAGTAATAGTCGTAAGTAGGCGCTTTATCCTCTTATATAATTAAATTACTAAGTAATTTTTTAACCTAAGGGAATAATTTAGGTAATAGGATCTTTTTATAATATTTATACTAATTAATCTCGCCCTTACTATTTTATATTAACTTACCTAATTTCGTATTCTAATTAAATTAGGGCTTACGGCCCGATAGATTTTATAAGCCTATTCGCTTTATACTACTCTCGAGCTCTTATTATTAATATTAAACGGGCTCGAGTTTAGTATTAAACTAAGTAATTTCTATTTCGGTAGCCTTCTTTTTAGTAATAGTCTTAGGAATTTAATAATAGTACGGCCCTTTTTTTTTGTATATAAAAAAGCTTTAAAATATAAATTTAAAATAACCTTTTTACTTTTCTTATATATACTATTTAATATAGGCCTTATTTAGGTAGTACTAGAGCTTATAGTTATTATAATAGTAATTAAGAGTAATTATAATCTCGTTTAATTATATAACCCGCTTTTAATCGTTAAGGGTCTAGTATTAGTAGTTAAGGTACTACTTAAGTCGCTCTTATTATATTTTTTTTGTTAGGCCTAGCTTACGGGTTAGTTTAGTTTTATAAAAGCCGTAGTAATAAAAGATTTACTAAATAGTTATTATTAATATATTAATACCGTCGTTTTTTATAAAGTCTTTAATAATATTAGTATAGTTCTTTTTATAACTATACTAGTCGTAATAAACTTTACGGATAATAGCGTCATTAACCTCTTTAGTTTACTTAGTTAAGTAGCTACTTCGGGGGGTATTTTCGTAATAAATAAGTTAAATTAAAAAAGTAAGAGTAGTTAGGTTAAATCCGTTCTTTTTTATATAAATAAGAACGTTAAAAACGGTACGGATTAGAATTCTTAAAGCTTAAAATATTTATTTAGTAATTTATTTAATTATACGACTTTATAGAGCTAAAATTACTACTCTAATACTTAGATCTAGCTTTTTTTTTATTAGTATTTTAGGATCTATATTAAGAAGAAAAAAAGGGTTTTAAAAATAGTAATTTAGTAGGTTTAGTAGTTTTAATATTCTTATAAGCCTCGTAATAATCGTAATAGCAGTATATAAGTTAAAGTAGTTATTATAAGTAGTATTAGAATAGAAAGTAACTAAAGTAAGTTAAAAATAATCCGTAGCCTCCGATTAGTTGAAATTAGTCGTAATTATGGGTCTAGGTCTTAGCAGCAACTGCAAGGACTATTGAGACGCACCTCCGTACCATCCTCCCAAAGGTCCCCCTTGACCTTCCCCCCAAGAAAGGCACCAGGGTCCAGCTGTTCTGTCGATCTGCGGCCTGCTCCTCTCCGTACTTACGCCCCGGCCAATCCGATTCCCGCATTGTTGAGATCCGCCCGCCGCTCAACTACCTCAACAGACTTAGAACGCTTTTTCATTTCCTGGAGAAAGCAGCTGCTTCTTTCGGTCCCTTCTTTTTCGGTCTCTGTCCTGTCTGCGTCTCACTGACCTGCATTCCTGTTCCCGTTCCCCTCCTCCTGCTCATCCCTCCCACGCTCCCTCCACCCTTCCACCGCCCGCCCTTTACGCCAAGGCCCCTCCCCTCCCGCTGGGTGTATAAGCCAATAATTGCCATCGCCTCCCGCTCGTGGGCTTATCCGTAAACATCGACTCGTCCCGCAAATCTACAAACCACAACACAACCGCACTCCCTATCACCAAAACACCGCATATCTTCAGTGTAACACAACCAAAACCACAACTGCGGGACCACACTTGCACGTGTAAATCCAAACGAAGGCGAGACCGACATAGTTCAACATTCCGGAATCCCACCAACCTTTTACCTGGCTGCGGTCTCTACCGCCGAGCCCCCTACTCCGAACCTTGTTTTCGCTTGAAGCATACCCGAGGTGCTTCTGTTAATACCTACATATTTCCGACTTCCTGTTGGTTGAGTTATGGAACCCATTGCCAACATGGCTTCCCTCAAGTCACCTTGCAGCGGCGCCGCCATCCAGGACGACGACGACTTTACCACTGCCACCGCCTCGGGAGCTCAGACTGAAGGCTCCGAAGTTGCTCGGAAAAGACGACACTCCCATTTCATTCCTAGACGCAAGTCCATCGTCAACCAAATCATGGACGGCGAGGAGCACTTGCTCTTAAAGGTATGCTCACTCGCCACCACAGACCTCGGCTGTTGTTCGGGGTTGCGTTTCTCTTTTTACAGAGACATTGTGAAAAGAACATATCCGGGAATGATGGGAGAAACATGCTGACAGTACTC